ATGAAAATTAATAAAATATAATTATAGAAAAAAAAAAGAAGCTCATGATGCATGGAATCAGGCCCCCAAAAGATGACCCCACATCCTGACTCTCCAAAACTCTGAGTCATCGAGTCTGAAGTGGACAAAGAGAACTTTGCAGATCTGATTAGTCTCGGGATCTTCAAGTGAGCTCATCAGAGGTTAGGCCCTGAGTCCAAGCACAGGTGACCTCATAGGACAGGGGGACAAGCTGACGACAGGGGCAGAGACCCGTGGGGCAGGCCAAGGACTTCTCAGGGTCACCAAGAGCTGGAGGAGGCAAGCCTTAAGGACTGGACTGAGCTCCACTCTCCCCCTCCAGCCCCCACCTATGTGTGCCACCTTGACTGGGCCACAATTCTCAGCAAGACTCAGTCTAAAGGATCCAGTTGTCACTTGAGTCAACCCTGAGATCTAAAAAAGTGTAAACAGGTAAGGAGAGATCAGAGGGACCTGAGGGCCACCACGGCCGTAGAGTGTGTCCTCTGAACCCAGGCTCCCTGCACAGGCTCCTCCAACTCGGAGACAGAGAAAGTCAGCACCCTGAACTTGGACTTCTAGCCTCCTAACTTGGAGAAAAGAAATGTCTGTCTGCTAAAGCCTTCCACTTGTGGTATTCCTGTTACATTAGCACTAGGTACTGAGCAACAAAGATCCCTCCCCTGTGTCTGCAGGAAGAAGGAGCCCCTGATCCTTGGCTTCTGGCCTCCTGCAGCCTCAGCAGATACATTTGTCTGTCTTCTGAAATACCAGGTTTGTGTAACATTGTATCTGTTGCAGCCCCAGATGCTCATACAATGTTCAGTGATGCCCTGAAATATGAAAAGTGCGGGGAGAGCTAGGTCTCATTTGTTACATATCAGTCTAGTTGCCACCAACTCCAAGCTGAGTGAGTTTCAAAGGCAGTAGATCACACAGGAGAAGACCGCCCACCTTTCTCCTGGAGAGGAGCTGGTGCATTCGAACCACATGCCCTTGGGGTTGGCAGTGCAGCTCCTTACCACTGGGCCACCAGAGCGCCCTAGTTCTCAGTACTGGGTTTGAATACTAAAACACAGGGTATTTACTGGGCATCTGAAAGCTGGATGATGAACAAGAATAACAAAAACAGAACTGGTGCCTTTGAGCTGTGGTGTTGGAGAAGATCACTGAATATCTCATGGATGGCCAAATAAACAAACAGGTATGTCTGGGAGAGGGTGCAGCCAGAGTGCTCTTTGGAGGCAAGAATGATGAGGCTTCACCTCACATACTTTGGGCATGTTACAAGGAAGAGCTATTCCTTGGAGAAGGACATGATACTGGGAACGGTGGAGGGTTGGCGAAGGGAAGGAAGACCTTTGACCAGGTGGACTGACATGGTGACTGCTGCAATGGGCTCCTGTGTGTCAGGAAGGGTGAGGATGGCACAGGATAGAGCAGGGTTCAGATATTTTGTTCACAGGGTCACTATGAGTCGTACTTGCCTTGATGGCACCTAACAACAACAACAACAACAAATGTTGTTAGGTGCCATTGAGACTTCAACTCACAGTGACTCTGTGTACAACAGAATGAAACACTGCCGAGTCCTGCAGGCTGGTTTCTCACAGTCGGCTGTGTGGGAGCCACGGCTGGAGCTCCTGGGAGCTCCTGGGCAGGTGTCCTGCTGCCCTGCCACACCCCGCTGTGCCCAGTCAGCAAGCGGAGACGGTCGTCCTGAGCTGACCAATTGTCCTGGGGTCTGGTCCCCACCTGTACACCTCATTCCATCATTCCCACTCCCTCTTCACAGGTCCTGCATTTTCCAAACTGAAGGTCTGTGGCAACGATGTGCCAAGCAAGTGTGTGGGCACCATTTCCCCACCATCCCAACAGTGTGCGCTCTGTGCTTCTCAGCCACATTTAATATTTCAAACTTTTACGGAAGGAGATCTGGTGACCGAGTGGAAAGAAGCTGCACTGCAATCTCAAAGGCACGCGTTTCAAATCCACAAGCTGCTCAGCTGGGCCATTTCCTCTGTGCGATTAACTGCCTCTGAAAACTCACTGGAGGTAAAACCTGCTGGCTTTTCAGTTATGGGACAGTTCTGATTTGACAACAACGAATAAATTGCACATGTAATACATGTATATAATATGCTGATATATAATAATAATGTCAACTATTATATGTACTGGGAAACAGAATTCACGTGACTCAGTCTGTTGTGGCATTTGCTGACTGCAGGGTTCTGGAACCACGTGTGTGTTAACTCCCAGGTGTACCTGTTCCTGTCTGCCCTACACAGAGGCCACTTGCAAAACTGAACCCAATGCAATTTGTCAAATGTAATCAGGGTCACCGACCTGCACATGAAGGAACTGCTGATGTGGTGAGTGGCTGTGCTTGTCCACACAATATGATGATTACACACCATCACCAAGTCACTCTGCACCACTGAGAGTCCTCATTCACACATCAAAAAGCAGTTTATAGTTTGAAATACACCACCAGTATCAGTGATGTGAAGTACAGACGGCAGAGGCAGGTAGACTAGGTGGATGACCAGAAACAAGAATCACAGAGAGGGCGTGGGAAGTGTGCAGCAACCTTGTAGAAACTGATGTTATAAAACAAAGTGTGCAGGACCAGCTCAATGGAAAGCTAATTTTGTTTTTAGAGCTTTAAAGGGCAATTAAACACAGGGGAAGGTGGCTGTGGTCAGCTCTGACTCAGGTGGCCCCGTGTGTGTGTGAGCAGAGCTAAGGCTGATGTTTCAGAAAATGGCCAGGCCTTTCTTCAGAGGAGCTTCTGGGGCTTCTTGAACCTCTCACCTTTTGGGCAGCAGCCAAGTGTATTAACCCCCTGCACCCCGACACTCCAGGCAGAGGCAGACTGCAGGGTATGATTGAGTGGTTAACAGAACAGGAGACCTCCAGGGTGAGAAACTGGGCATAAGAGTGGGGTCGAGGGTCAGAGTGGTCACCTGGGCCACAGTACTGGCCAATCAGGATCCCAGGCACCCTGATGATGAGGAGATAACTTTGTAAGGAACAAATGACAAATGACACGAGTATGCTGAGCTTCTCAGGTACCAGAGAGAATTAGCTCTCTATGTTTGAAGTATCCAAACGGAGACAGATTCTGAGCACGTGCAGGACGAAGGAGCGTTTTGTTCTATGGTGTGCAGGGTGACTACGAGTCATAACTATATGACAGCACCCAGAAACAACAGGGGCTCTGGTGGCCGAGTGGCAAGGAGCGTGCTGCCACCCCGAAGGCAGGCAGTTCAAATCCACCAGCTGCTCTGTGATGTACTTCCCCTGAAAACCCACTGGAGGGTCAGCTCCGAGCAAGCGGCCACAGCAGTAGCAATGGGTTCACACACAGCAAAGGTCATGAGGACGGGCCGGGGCTTGTTCTGCTGTTCATGGCAACACTGAAGGTGGGAACACACACAGACACAGCACAGAGAGAGACAGCACGCAGCAACGAACACGGGGGGTGGGGGTCCGCCCGCTCTCCAGCCTTCCCTCGAGCACATGTTCTTGGTGCTGTCACTTCCCGTTCACGATGAGCCCACATGCAGCCAGGCTCTGTCACGGCTCTGGGATGACCTCTCAACAGGCCCTGGTACATCCCAGCTCTCAGTCCTCCCAGGTGCCCTCCTGGTGGGCATGGACACTGCCACCTCCCACCCCTGGGTAGTGCGATCCAGTCACCTCAGGGTACCTGACGTGGGGTCTGACCTCACCAGATTTCCAGTTCTGGTCCGAGCCTGTACCTTGCTCCTTTGTTTTTGGCAATTTCAATACCTGTGTGTAGAGAGAAAGAGGGTCAGCATCAGCACCTGCATGGGGCTCACCTGCTGCAGGAGGTGAGAGCGACTCGGTGTTCACTCCTGGTGGACCGTGTACGTACAGTGGAACTGCTCGGGGGGGGGGGAGGGGGAGTCAGAAGCAGGTTGCCAGGCCTTGCCACCTCTGAGCAGATCTGAGCCCACAGCATTTCAGCTAGTAGCTGAGTGCTGAACTCTCTGAGCCACCCTGTGCTTCTACTGCTGTAGTTGCATTTTGTTGTTAGGTGCCATCAAGTCAAGCACAACTCACAACAACCATATGAAGAAAAGATCTGAACCCTGTTCTATCCCACACCATCCTAATACTTCCTGACACACAAGAGCTTGTTGCAGCACTCACCATGACAGTCTGCTTGGTTGAGGGTCTTTCTGTCCTTCGCTGACCCTCTACCCTTCCCAGCATCATGTCCTTCTCCAAGGAATAGCCCCTTCTAGCAACATGCCC